ACCCTTCTTGCAAATATGATGATTTATTTAAGAAATAAAAAGAAATTTTCTTAAAATTTAGAGAAATTATTTTAAACAGTTAATTATATTTGCTAAACAATGCACTGTTTGAAAATTCAATTCGGTGAAGTTATTCACTATTCAATTAAATTCTTTGAAAGAAAAATGATAATTTTGATTTAAATCATGATTTAAATCAAGTTGATTTGAAACATTACAGCCCTGATTTAAATTGAAATCAATTAAAAATTTGAGGATGTTGAAAACTCGATAAATTAAATTTTAAAATACAATTTAAAAAAAATAAAAAGCTGAAATAAATCTTATTTTATACCTACTAAAAAAGTCGAAAAAGTAGCGTTTTATTAAAATAAGTTGAAAATAGAAGTCATATTCATTGAAAAAAGTCGAAAAAGTTATACAATCCAAGGCCACATTTTACGAAAACTTGATTAAGAATTATAATAATTATGTTTAAATTGGAGATGCGATTGTATTGAACAAAATTTTGAAATACGATTTTATATTGTTCTTAAAATTATCATTTTAACTGAAAGGATCAACATCACTGACACTCCACGTGATAAGTAAATTAATTTTCGCTAACGAATATAAAATCGAGTAACAAAATATTTGTTTGACATGCAATAAACATCTTATCTTACTCAGGTAAATAATTCCTAAAAAAATTATTAAATTTTTTAACGTCCGAGAAATATATTAATTAGAAGGTTTCGTATGAATAAAACGATAACATTCGGACCATTGTTGTTTTAATAAAAGTTTACTCCAACATTTCGAAATCTAAATGATTTTCTCTTCAGAGAGTCTATCAAAATTATAATAAATTGCCAAATAAACAAATACAAAAAATAATTAAAATAAATAGAATAAACAATAAATAATGAACACAGTAAACAATAAATGAAATACTATACAATAAGAACAATTAACAATAATAAAATAAAAAATAAAAAATAAAAAATAAATACAATAAATAATAAAAACAAAAATAAACACAATAAATAATAAAAATAAAATAAATGCAATCAAAAAATTCCTAAAAAAATATTGTCAATTAAACCTAAATTAATGACATTAATAAAATACATACCTTCAGCCATTTTTTCTGCTTCACTCCTCACATTAACTCCTGCTAACGATAAGTGTTAACACCGGGCTTCTAGTAATAATTTTCTAGGAAATTTCACAAAAACTAGACCATTTTTTGTTACAAACAGACATAATTTTCGTAAAAAGTAAAACACGTTTCATAAATTGTCGCAATTTTCAAATTTTGCGCCAATACGAATGAGGATCTGACGGAATTAACCACTTGCAATCAAACAAACAAAGATTAAGTGAAAATGTACATTTTAAACTAGTTGAGCACCACTGTTGACACCGGGTGCTAACACCCAGTGACTGTCGAAAACAACCATACTTTGTTGCACACCCACGTAGCACCGAAGATTTAATAAATATTTATTAAATATTTATTTTCAATGTTCGCAGTATTTAGAAGAAAGGTTAAGTAAAGCTTCTGTAAATATTTAAATATCCGCACTTGAGCAAATGTCTAACGCAAACCTCGAGTGTAGCTTGAAATTAAATATTCGTTAAAGCTTCGGCTCGTAACTTGAGTGAAGCTTTAAATTAAATATTCGTTAAAGGTTCATCTTGAACCTTGATTGAAGATTTGAAAGGGATCTTAAATGAAGAGCAGCTAAGGTCCCTTTCATCGTGGAGCGTCACAAATATGCGTTAAAGGTTCAGCTCGAAACTTTATTGATGCTTGAAAAACATATTCGTTAAATGTTCGCTCAGATAGCTGGGTTTTAAAATTATCTAAGCATAAAGTATTAATTGTATTAATAATAATAATATAATTAAAATATTTATATCTTTAATTTGAATCAGTTTAATAAATAAATTGATTTAAGAAATTTTACTTTTCAAAAATTAAAAAAAAAAATTTCTTAAATTTAGTGACTCATACTTGATTAAATAATTTTTTAGAGACTTTAAATAACGAAATTAATTTTGAAAATAAATTTGGGGGGACCGGGGATCGAACACGTGTTCGCCGAACTTCTTCTTCTTCTTAAATGATTGGAAAAAAAATATTGCTCTTAAGCTACAAGTGATTTTATTGGTTTGCGGAAAACGGCGAGATAATTTAAAATTTGATTTTTTGTTTTGACAGTATATAACCAAGCAAAAATTATCTTAACCATCGAAACAATTCATACCGTTTTCCGCAACCAATAAAGTCACTTGTACTTTATCAAAATGCAGGTGTTGCACAAAAAACATTATTTTATCTAGCTACAAGTCTGAAATTTTTATATTCTAGCCATGAAGTTTGTGTATATGATTGCTTTGTACTATTTTTATATTTAGAAGAATACATTGTTTAAATGAAAGTGAACATAAATTAAATAGTAACAAACAGTTAAATTCAATTTAGATGTGTACATTCCCCCTGGTCGTCTGTAAATATAGTTTTTGATTAGTAAAAATCTACACTGAGAGAAATGACCAAGTAGCACGATATATAAACCAGATGTCACGGTGATATCACCAAGGAATGTCACCGTGACATCAGGAAAATGTCACGGTGACATTCCTTGGTGATATCACCGTGACATCTGGTTGATATATCGTGCTACTTGGGTGAATGGTTGGGGCTACTACTTTTTTATTAGTAAAGGAAGTTAATTCCCCTGCCCATTTAGTTAGTAAAACTCAGTAATGTTTTTAGTGAATTTTAATATTTTCGATATCAAGCGCAACTATTTCGAATTGGTAAACAGGAAATAATAACCACACGTACAAAAATAGTTCCATGTAAAAGTTTAACTGACAGAGTAGTTGGGTTTACCATTTTTTTAGCAAACGCGGTTGGCAGTTGTTAGAAATTCAGTTGGCAACACTCATGCTCGTGAAGCAATGTCGTGAGAAAACGTGATCATTTGTGTATATCTTTTTATATATTTTCTACACTTATATTATTTTTATATATAAATTATTTAATTGAGTATTAAAAAAGTGCGTGGATTTACGGGAGTTATTAATATCAGGGGGGTTCGAAAATTATGTAAATAGTTTTGAATGTAAATGACAATTTAACCAAGAAACCTAACCTATAAAATTTATAAATTATTATTCGCATCATACAAAAAATATGTTTAATATAAGATTTATATCTTACTTGGTACAGCAAGAAAGTTATATTAACCTTATAATAAACATATTTTTTTGGATGTGAATAGTATTAAATAAATATTTACGGCTGTATTTTATTACATCGAATTACCTATTTGATTAGTAAGATTAACTAACTAAATGTTATCTGTTAAAATATTTATTAGTAGTTGGTACTAACTAAAGTAAGTTCCCCTTACTAATAAAATGGTAACGTTAACTATTTATCTTTTTACTATTATAAATGGTATCCCTGACTATCGAATTAGCAGCAGTATAGTTTACTAACCAAAATGGTCCCACACAGCACATTATATTTCCTAAACATTTCATGAATATTTCATTGAAAGATTTGAAATATTTCAATGCAAGGTTCATGAAATGTTGAGTAAAACAGGAAAATGTCCGCCTATAAGAAATATTGCCGTGCAATTTTGCTGAAATATTACACTTTAATACTCCTGCAATATTACACATGAAGACTCTGCAATATTCAGGAAACATTTCAAAAAAAGTTAGAAACTTTTTTAAAATATGAAATCAATCGTTATTTTCAATCATGTTCAACACCTTAGGATCCTGGAATATTAAAAACTACTGCGCAGCTGTACAGGCCATAGAAACTGAGATCGACCAGTGCGCATCATTTAAATGGAATTTTTCTATAATATTTTAATGAAATATTTCAGCAACATTACACTGCAATATTTCTTATAGGCGGACATTTACCTAATTTCAGCAATATTTCAAGGACTTCGCATTGGAATATTTCTAAATTTCAATGAAATATTTCAGAAATATTTAGGAAATTTCATGTGCTGTGTGGGGTATTAGTAACCATTTTATTAGTTGACTCAACTACTTTGTTCTTTCAGTGCACTATCCTCTCTTTAAAAGCTTATAACTAAGGTAAAAAAATTCGCATTACATTAAGACAACCTAGAGTCAGCATCTACTCTAATTCTAAGTTACTATTCGAAATTGCAAAAAGGAGAAAAATTTTTTGCGTTATTATGGATTTTAGAAGATAAAAAATACATGGTTTTTCACACGATTTTGACAACCGTCTACTTTGAAAAATTATAGTTTATTCAACAAAAATCCTATGAGTTTGCAAAATATTTTCTATAATATTTAAACACTTCTGAAACATATAATTAAAAAAACTTACGCTTATTTCATTACCTTTTTGAAATTATTTAAAACAAAGTTAAAATGTTATCTCTTTAACAAATAAACGCACAGATCTGAAACAAATTTCAAATTATGTAATAAAAGATTCAGTTAACAAAACAAAAATCAAAAATTGTTTAAAAAATTTTTCCAAAGAATTATAAAAATTTTTTCTCGTATTTTGCTCCATTACTCCCATTGAGGCAAGTTGCGGACCGGGATGTACCCTTTTGTCAAAATCCTTTTGTCAAAATGGTCTGAAAAGCATGTATTTTTTATCTTCTAAAATCTTTATTCTAAAGTGTTTTTTAATTCTCAAAAAAGAAGCTTATTACTACATTATAATTTTCTATAATGATTGTCTCATATAGCTTTCTGTTTAGCTTAACAGAACGTAAACAATACTCCCAATAAAAAATCTTTTTCAATCATATTCTACTATTAATTTTTGAAGGGTAAGTACTAAAAAATTAATGTTACTTTAATTAAACTCTTTTTGGCATTAATGTATTAGAGCAGAATATGAAAATTAACATCTTTGTAAAAATTAGGAAAGCAAACGCAACAATACTAAGCATGTAGTATTATATTTAATTATAATGTAAGTTAAAATTATATAGATGGATTCGGAGTATGCAGGAACTCCAACTTCTTCTCAAATGAATGTCGAGACTGAAGTCTCCGAATTGTATGGACGAGGTCATAGAGGCAGAGTGCCTTTACTACCATGGACACCAACAATAGATGAAGAAAAGGAGCCACCATTAAAGAAAACAAAGACGATGCAAGCTAAGGTAGCAGCTAAGAACGAAGCTCAAGCAGCAGCTAAAGTTTTTAATGTACGATATAAATATATTTATTTCAATTATTAAATTTAGAAAATAAATTGTATTTAACAATTAATAAACAATTTTAGAAAATAGTAAAAGATGGAATTGCAAAATGTACTGAGGAAGTAGACGTTCTTTGCTTGCAACGTGCTTTAAGCAATGTATGTATGTGGTTAAACATAAATTTACAATATAAGTTAATTATTAGTAAGATTAATTTATCTGTAATTTTGTAATTGTAGAAAGATGAAAATGCTGTAGTAACTGTTGTTAAGAACAAGCCTCCAAAGTACGTTATCCAAAATACAGTTGCTACTCAGGTAAAATAAAATTGTACATATTTTGCATCCCAATAAATTAAAATAAGAAATTATATCTACAGAATACGATTTCAATCATTTTGCAGTGTGACATAATGCACTGCAGTTAAAGCTGTTAAATTTTAACATTTTACAATAAAAAATTAGGGTGGTTCTCCGGCAAATCACTTTTCTATACAAATTTTTTAAACTCTGGGAAAATGTCCCTTTTTATGTACTTTATAAGTGGTAAAAAAACCCAGTACCCTTTGCCATGTTAAAAACTGATAAATTTGGGTTTAAAGTTGCACAAGTTAACATTAGATTCCTAATCTGAACATGCAACACTCATATATATTTTATTGAATTTTTTTAAGTTTTCTTTAATTTTTTATAAAATGAGTATATTGTAGAATGGAATTAATAGAATGATATAAAAAAAGTTTTTGTAGGGGTATCCATGATAATTTTTGAATTACAATGTTTTGAAGTAGAAAAGTTAGGTTATTAAGATTTTTAAAAAAAGTCAAGTATATTACACGCTTGAGAAAGCACGACAGTGAAGTGAGCTGTTGATCAGTATAAACTAGTCGCAAGGAACTGAGCACCTCTGGAGCCGGAGAACCACCTTAAAAAGCATTCTGAGTCACAATAATTCATAAGATATCACAACAGCCCCAAAAGAAGATATCTTTTAACTTTCGTATAAAAAGACTTTTATTCTGCAGGTAATGTTTGCCGGTGTCAACATAAATAATGAAAAGTTGGCCAAAGCCAAAATTGCAACGACGTTGAAGTTGAGATTAACGTATCTTGCGCAAGGATATTGGACACCTGAACAAATGCCATTCATTGGTAGCCGAAATCCACAGAATGTTAGTGATGAAGAATTTATAGAAGTTACTCAAACTGACATCAACAACATTATGCGTATGTATAGTGTAAATAAACTATTATTTTTTTTATAAATACTTTAAATATTAATTACAAATATTTTTTCCAGGCATCGTTAACAGTCTTCAAGAAGATAACGAGTTAAAAATCTCAGATGGTACAGAAGAAAAAGCGAGTGATAACAAATATGTTAGAAAATGTATTCTGGAGGTTCCAAAAACTTGGCGTAATACTCATAAAAATAAGTAATTTGTCAAAAAATACCAGAATCTAATATATCACATGTATCAACGGTGATTTTATCTCTTTTGTTTTGATCTGAGTTCATTGACTGCACGTGTCGTGTATAAAATCTACGAATTGTCACCTTCTTATGTCAGTTTTTATTTTGCTTTGCGATGAATGACATCGTCTATTCGAATTTAATTTTTAGACAAAAAAATTTTAGACTTATTACTAATGTAACCAAATAACTTTAATTTTAATTGAACAAGGTATTTATTTATTTATTTTTTTTATTCTTCAATTTTTTATGAGAAGTTCTAATAAGTTTGTGAATAATTAATTTCTAATTTTGGTTTAATAAAGTGGCCTGATGATGGTGTCAAACCAAGACACCGAAACGTTGCCGAATAAATAATTTGGTGTTTCATTTATTGCTTCCAATAATCGAAAGAATCTCAAATTCTAAATTTATTTTTTAAATAAAAATACACTCTAAAGACATTTTTCTTTAGACATTCTTATAATATTCAGTGATTTTAAGAATATTCAACTAATTCCCTAAACATCTAATCAAAATTCGTATTTCCTTAAGTATTAATAATAGTACAATTTTACTAGCCCCTGTGGCTGTTATAAGTTAATAAATCTGGTTTTCCCCAAGATAAATTTTAATAACTTAAAACTTACTCTTATCACGGTTTAGAGAAAAATAAAAATAAAGGGTGTCAGCCCCTTTGTCGCTTAGAATACTTTTTACTTCAAAAAGCAGGTCAAAAATATTAACTTGTTATAAATATTTGAAAATGGCGTCACAATTTTTCCCTTGGGTAACAAAACACGTGTGCGTTTACTGATTCCTACTATAGCGAAAATGTGGACACCGTTTATAAATATTGAAATAAATTAATAGCTTTACGAATTGTCCACACACAACCAGCACGAAAACTTGCAAGAAGCTTGCCGTGCAAGATGTCCAAGATTGTAGTGCAAATATGTAGCGATTTTGATGAAAGCAACAAAATGTCCTCTTATAGCAAGTTTGTAGGGCAACTTTGGCGCAAACTTGCTGCGACTTTGCAAAACTTAATACGATGCGCAGTTGTAAATTGAAGCTCCTACGGCTGCGCAATATATTTTTTAACCTTCAAAGCAGGATGCCTTTAATGTTTATTTAGTAACAAATTGTTTCGAAAATTTTTGTTTAGTTTCTATACAAGCTTGCAGCAAGCTTTTTACAAGTTTGCTTAACTACTTCTTACTCAACGATAAAAATATTTTTAATTTATTAATTAAATTCCACCAGCCAATTATGATTAAATCTATTTTATTATACAAAATATTGAAAATAAACCTTCACTTTAATTAAACTCTTTTTTAATAGGACAAAAAGTCAAAAGCAATAATTGCAATACAATATTCTGAATTATTAAAACCTACCAAATGAAGAAAGCATACACAATTTTAATTTAGTTATTGTAAACCTATGATTTTCTTTTATTTAATTGTTATTCTAATGTCTATTTTTCTATTTGACTGTATTTTCAGAATATTTAAAGAAGCGATGGATTTCATGGAAGAAGATAATTCTTTTTTGGAAGAAATTGATCTTCCAAGTGAAGATGAATATCCATCAGATAGTGAGGAAGAAGAAGACATGAATCTCTCTGATGAAGAAAATAACCCAGTAGATCCAGTGCAACATGAAGCACAAGGATTTGAAGGCAATCTTCTTGTAGACGAAAATCAAAGAGAAAGAGATGACTTTCAAAATGTCAATGACATTGAAAACGTCCAAGAAGATATACCGTTACAAGTTCAAAGAGAAGTGAGAGATCCAATAGCCGTAGATGCACAAGGACCACTTTTCCAAGGTTTGCAAAATGATCGTAGAATGAATATTTTTATTCAAAGTAGAAACGATATACATGCAAAAGATCAGTTTTTGATTGCATTAGCGCAAAATACGGCTGCAAGGGAGACTTATAAAAGTCTTATTAATAAACTTTTGTGGATAAAGCAAAGTTATATTAATTGCAAAATACCAACTACAATGAAGCAGTTGTGGAACACAATGGGCAGAGATACATCCAATTTGATTTATTCGGTTTATTGTTCACTATGCAGGACTAAAGTTGGCGATGGTAAAACAGCAACCAGAGTTTGTCACTGTGGTTCTTGTGGTCCTCGTTTACAAAACAAATATTTGGCAAATTATATTCTAGTTCCAATTATTCCTCAATTGCAAGAAATTTTAAAATTGCCAAATATAGCTCAGTCTTTGCAGTACGGAGATGAGCGTGTTAAAATAAATGCGGATAATATAGAAGACATTTATGATGGCGAAAAGTATCGAGATCTACGTTTAAACGGAGGTTTAAGACAGCTTTATAATATGTCTTTAACCTTGTGGATAGACGGAGTATCTCTAGCAAAGTCATCAAAAGCTTCTTGTTGTCCAATACTTTTACGTATTAATGAACTGCCACCATATGCTAGACATAAACATATAATATTAGCAGGCATTTATGTTGGAAATCAAAAACCAAATATTAATAGTTTATTGGTTCCTATTACTGATCAATTAAGGTATTCACACAATACTGGTATTAGATGGGAACCTAATGTTGGACAAGAAGTTAATAGTAAATTTTTAACAACAACACTTACAGCAGATTCAGTTGCAAGACCAGATGTATTGAGAATGACTCAATATAACGGATATTTCGGTTGTACTAAATGCATTGCACGTGGAGAACGGATTGTAGGAACTTTAAAAATGGTTTATCCTGATGAAGCTCGTGTTTTGCGTAAAAATGAAACTATCCTCAATGATATGGTTCTGGCAGAACAGAAAGAAGGGTAGTCAATGGTGTAAAAGGTGCTACTGCTTTAGCACAAATACCGGAATTTGATTTAGATTCTGGAGTTGTACACGATGATTGTCATAACTTTCATTTAGGATGTACAAGGCAATTAACAAAAATGTTTCTGAATGATAGTACAAAAAGTTGGTACATTGGAACCCCTACTAAATTACAACAAATTGACAAAATAATTGCAACAATTAAAGTACCATCAGAAATTTCCAGACGCCCTCGATCTATCCGTGACTACAGTAAGTGGAAAGCTACTGAGTGGCGAAATTGGCTGTTGTACTATTCTCTTCCATGTCTCGATAGAATACTAAAAGAACCATACTACTCACACTTTGCTTTACTCAGTGGGGCAGTATTTATCCTGAGCAACGCATCGATATCACGTAATGATATATTGGTTGCACGTGCTTATTTAGAGCAATTTAGTATTCTAGCACAGAGACACTATGGAAAATAAATATGTCGTATAATTTTCATTTTGCAGGTCATTCACCAAAGTCAGTTGTTGAATGGGGACCATCCATTTGAGAGTTTCTATTCAAAAATTAAAGATACCGTTACTAGTGCGAATAGCCGAGCAGATCAAATAGTAACTCGTTTTTTCATCATAAAATTTCTCGAAAAATGTGTTCATTCACAAGATATTTCTGAGAGAACAAAAAATGAGATAAAACGATTGTTGAAGTATAATCCTGTAGACATTTCAGAAGGAATGCAACCAGGGCATTATTTTAGAGGTGAAGGAAGACCCAACCAAAGACGTCTGAATGCATTTGAAATTAATGCCATAAGAAGAACAGGAGAAACTATAGGGGAAGAAACTGTTGTAAATGTATATCGGAAAGCAGTAATACACAGAGTAGATTATCAGGTAGATGATAATGTACAAAGAGACATTTGCAATTCGGTAGTCTACACAAAAAACGGTTTTCTCAAAATTACAGGATTGCTATCCTATCAAATTGAAGAGAGAACAATTTGTGGGATTATTGGAACAGTTTTAGAAGAAGGTAACAATCTTTATGGAACACGATATATAACAGAAGTTTTTTTAAATGATGAAATTTCTTTTGTGTCTTTCCATGATGTGATTGTACCAGGAATTCTAATGGATGTAAACGATAAGTTTATTGCTACTCCATTAGCAAACACTTCGAGTATTGATTAAATTTCGACACAAAATATTTGTGGATATTTCGAAAAACAATTTATATTACGAAATTGACCACTTGCGTTGAGATTTCGCGCAATGGGTTAATTTGTTTAAAAATTGACAATGTCAGTTTACAACTTGCGTTGAGTTTCGCGCAAAGATATAAACGAGAATATGAAACTGATTACTTGCGTTGAGATTTCGCGCAATGGATCAATTTCTTTAATAATTGTCAATGTCAGGTTATTGCTTGCGCTAAGTTTCGCGCAAAGATATGACCTACATTATGAAACCAATCAAATGCGCTGATTTGAAGTAGATTTACACTTTGTGTAAAAAGATATAAGCGGTGGTTTTAGTGGGTAGGACCGGTCATATGTTTAGTAGTTTATCGCTCAGTTGGTAAGGCCCCTTAGTTGACACTTACTCATACGAAATGTATGTTGCGACATTTATTGATTTTCATTGAATATTTATTGTCTGTCTTCTATATGTAATTTGAATTTATAACGAGCGCTATCACATGAAAAAATTTCGGTATCGCGACATATATTTTATATGAGTAACTAGCAAGGTAGGTGCCTCATCCATTAGACAATTTACTCAATATATTGCCCTATTCCATCATAGCGCATGTCGAGCCTCGTATTTCAAAAGGGTGTGCGTAAATGCATTTCCACCAGAAAAGAAGAAAAAAAAAAAGATAAAGGTTAGTATAAACATATTTAGATAAATCATTTCGTTTTTAGCCAAAAATAATAGTAAATATTTTATTTTTAAGAAATTCACAATTTCAAGTAACATATTTGTAAGTTAAGTTCTTACAGTCTATGCAATTTTTAACCCTTTATTTTTTAAATACATATATATATATATATATATACCGAAACATTACAATATCCTACTCTGTAACATTACAGCAGACTTAAATATAAGCTTCGTAAGATTACAATGTAAACTTACAGTAAGTTTAAGGTAACTTTAAATGTACGTCATACAGTGCCCTTACAATATAAAGGTACAGTAACTTTCCAAGGTAAGCTCACTGGAAGCTTACATAGAAAGGTCACTTATTTGTGTTTCGTCAAAAAAAAATTTCTTTCAGCTAAAATCGCCAAAAACTGATAAAAATTCTGAATTAGGGGCAGAGATAATTTTTTTTGCCGAAACACTACGATAGAGCATTTTCATGTATTTTTTCACGCTGAATCCGAATTCGAAGTCAGTATTGACAGATTGGCTCAAATTTTGAAGATAATTCCAAAAAACTGATTTTGAGTATTTTTTTTGCAATTATCTCAAAAATTTGAGCGAATCTAACAATTCTGACTTTGGATTCGGATTCAGCGACAAAAAATACATGGAATTACACTATCGCAGTGACATTCTAAATTTTTTTAACTTCACATATGACGATAAAAATAACG